GTATGTGTTTCTGTAACAGGTTCTTTTTACGAGAGAGGTTGTTAGCCTCGTGACTCAACCCCCGACCTGGAGGCAGGATGACTCTGTTTTAGCCTATCATCACATAAGTCAGTGGTAGGCTGACTGTGAATAGATCTACATGAAATGTCAAAATGTTTTACACGGGATTAACAAGTTTTATTATTGTTAGAATTTTTTACGAAACTCTTACCGGTATCAGAGACTTAAATTATTCTGCAAACTTCTAAAATAACTTTAAAATTCCATCCTGAAAAAAATCCTGCTTCCACCTCCCTGTTGATGTGATTATAAACTGTGAACAATTAATCTTCTGGGCCCATCGTAAAATCATTTTGGACCGGAGTGGCAATTGCAATAACCTAATATGGAGGCATCTTGGTGAAATCAGGCGTTCGTCAAAGTAATGAAAGCAAAGAAACAGGCATTTTCCCCGCCAGTTTGACAATATCTTATTGTTGGGGGTTTTTTTTTGCTCAACACTTTAGTACATTTCCAGGTGAATTTACTGAAAAACGTTGAAAGGCACTAATAATATGTCATTTTTCAGTTTTCAAGGACTTTCAGGCTAATGAAGTTACCAAATTTTGATGGTCATTTTTGCGCCAATTTTACCACTGAAACGAGGTAACCACACCTTCTTCAATCGCAAATATCTCAACTTCCATTCAAGTTCAAGATAGATGGGCGATATTTTTTTTTCATTTAAAGCAAGCCTAATGAATAAATAAGCTTTTAGAAGATACCAATAGCTCCACATGCCCACACATTGACGAGTCCCTGATTCCGCCGTGTCGTGGCGGTGGCTGCCTAGTTTGTCACAATTATTTCATAATTTAAGTATTTTAGTATTGATGACAATCATAATTACAGCACTTTAACACTGTAGTTGTAACTTAAGTTTATTATTCTCCACCTTCAAATTGGTGGCGTAGACATAGATTCTAGTTCATCCAAAGTGTCAATTTAGCTTTTGTTGTTCAATATTTCTTCCTTTTAGTATGCAAATCAAACTAAGTAAATTACTCTGTAAAATTTCAACAATGAATGGTCTTTCGTTAGAAACAATTGAAAAATAAAATTCAATTCATACAATCAATCAATCATTCATTTACTGTTTTTGAGAGTGTCAGTGATAACTTCCATTTATGCAGGGTACAGTCGAGAGGCCTCTGACAAACTGGGCCTGTGACAAACTGGCATACTTCCGTCGTGTCACCCTCTAACTCTAGGAGTAATCGAATCAATGCGGGATGAAAACGGGTAGAAGCTACGACGAAATTAAAAGAAAAAAATAAGAGATGAAAACTGGTTCTCCCCTTTCTGTCATCCAAACTGGGAAAGTCAAGTCAAGGTTGTACTCTATGGTCTCTGTGGACCTGTCTCGGGTGCAAGAACACACACACACACAGAAAGAGAAAGAGAGAGAGAGAGAGAGAGAGAGAGAGAGAGAGAGAGAGAGAGAGAGAGAAGAGGGGATCTGAGGCCTTGCCCACAAGAACTCAATACTTCTACTAGCTATTTATGAGAAACTAGATCATGTACAAGTATTCAGTTAATGCATTGAATCTAACACTCACCTCACACAGGACACAAAATAAGTTCGAGACTGTTTCATTGAGGGAAAAAATCCCTCAAATCTCCCCTTATTTTTTTGGGGGGAATTCCGTTATTTTTTCTTTCATTCTGAATCTATGAGGCTGCTTCAGCATTTTTCAAAAACTTTTATTACGTTGAATTCTGACCTTCATGGCTCTGTATCTCAGTTTGAGCAATGTGTCTTACGGTACTTTTCACCAGGCACACACATATGTGAAGTGAGCTGACAAAATGAGTTACTTCTCAGATTTTAGCCCGATGGAAATAGAAAGATCAAATTTATAGGTTGAAGTTTTACAATTTATCAGTATGAAATGATAAAAGAAATGTTAAACATGGAGAGAATGGCATTGGTTTAGAGTCTACAAATATGACCCTTATGTTGATTTTTGGCTGATATCTCCATTCTTGGATTGTGAGAAGTAACCCATTTTATTAGCACGCCTCACATATACACGTATATATATCATAACGCTGCCCATGACTGTCCGTCAGTGTGTCTGTCAATTTGCCCTTTTTCATTTATTGATACATATTACACAGACAGACAGACAGACAGACAGACAGACAATAATATAATAAATCAAACTCAGAAATGGCAGCTTCTTTAGCAACTGTAATATCACTGCTCAAATATTGACAATAACGTTGGATGCCCACAATATCAACCCTTGTTCCTTTCTTCTCTCCCCCACAAAAACAAAGTTTACAGTTGTGGAATCCACTTAATTCGAAATCTGCTGAACTGTCAGACTTGCAAAGGTTAAGGCTTCTTTTTGTTATGTGAAAAAATTGTTCAAGTAGCTTGCACACTAAAGGAAAGTAATTCATCACTCAAATCCCAAGAATTACATTCATTATGCAGTACTGAATTGTGTCCCTTTGTTCTTGAGGCACAATGTGGCTATTTGAATTCATGTCTGCGTTTGTTTGTTTTTTAAAGGGGGGAGGGGGGGGGGTCTTTAGAAACAAGATCATTTTGGCTTATCAACAGTTTTCTTACAAAGACACAGAAGAAAAAAGGCAAACATTCTATTTTCCTTCTGATTAGTGCCACTTTCGTTTTGAGTGGTTTCCACCAAATGTTTATATTAAGTTTCAATCATAAAAATTCCTATTCACCCAAAGCAAACAAAGTCACATTCAACAAAAGGAGACAAATTCCTCATCAGTTTTCATGCAAAATCAACAATAACCATCATATTGAACAGATTCTTATCCATCAAAAATGTTCGTCTGACAGACTTTACTATCAGAAAAAGCTTAAATTTGGATTCAGCACAAGAATCAACAAAATCTTTGCATACCAGGTTCACTGTATTATTTTCCTACTCATTCACACACCCTTCCATTTGCAGAAAACTTCTATGTCCCATTAAAAAAAACCCTCAATAAATTCAAAACTACAATATGTATTCATAGCAAAATATCCCATTCACGTAGCATCTCACTCATATACTACCCCATACATACAATGTCTCATTCTAACTCTACACATCTTCCACAGATCACCACCTTCTCAAACATTATCTCCCTCACATCGCTCTTCACAAACATTCTACTCATCTACAGCCCATCCACCATCTCATTCCAAAACTTTTGTCTAATCCCATTTTTCCATACATTATTTAGCGCAGGAAAACTATTCACACACCATATTTGAAATCATACTAGTGATAGTATTTTCTTCAAATATGAAAGAATGTTACCTTTATTTATAGTCAATATCTTGCCCAGCTCATGTTTGTTTCAGTAAAGAGAAGCACATTGAAACTATAAAGATGATTTCATGTAATGGAAAAGCAAGACACACAGAACCAACATAAAGAAAAGAAGTTCATCTCACAATGATGACTATGACTCACAATATGATATGCTATATAAATCTTGGTACCATACAGAAAGAGTTCTGAACACTGATGATCCACCACACCCAAAGGCACAATATTATACATCCCCGACATCTTTCTGTTGTTCTTAACTGTGAAGTAGCCTAACAACAGACTCATGCCGTCAGGGGCGAGACTCTGAAAACATTAACACCCAAAGGAAGTAATAGGGGCAGACCACACCAGGTTATCTCTAAAATACAAAGGTCATGTTCACTAAAAAACTAAAAAAGGAATTAGTATACACCAGATTAGCCTTCATGAAATTTAAATATCCTCACTTCGAAGAGAAATTCATCATCAACATAAACATTTATTCACTGTAAATTCAGTACAACTCATCATTGAAGGTTTATAATAGCATAGACATTCTCAAAAGGGCTAATGGTCTGCTCATCTATCTGTCTCTCCCTCTCACGCACTCTCCTCTCTCGCTGCCAGCGAATAAACCGTCTTCTCCAAACAAGTCCTATTTTACTTTTTTACTTTTACTTTTATCCCCCGCTTATACCCTTTTGGGTGTCGTGGGAAGAAAGAGACGTCTCTCTGTCGCCAGCCAGAGAGCTTGGGTCAGGGGGATGCCGTGGGTTGTTAGTGTTTCCCTGACTCCATCTATCCAGGTCTCTCTCGGTCCCCATCTAGCCTTGTTGCCATCAAATTTTTTTATGTAGGCACGTTGTGCTAGATGGTGTGTTGGTAACTGTATGAGATGTCCCCGGAGGTGGAAACTGGACAAAGTCGCGGATTGCTGGGTTCAACGAAGTACTGTGTGGCTTTATGCCACTGAGGCATCACGCTAGCCATGAAGGAGAACCTGGGGCACCCTGAAAAGTTGCAGGCTAACGGGGCTCTGGTGAAACTGTGACAGGCCTAGCAAGCCGGCGGCGGATTATTTATTGCTCAAAAAAACAATGGAAGAAAGAAACGGACTGATACAGACGGAAAGAAGTCCTACACAGAACAAAATATGCACATCAAATACTCCTAATACTCCTTACTCAAGTACCAAGACATTCAACTTTCACTTAAATACCAAAGCACAAAAAGCCAAAATGCATACATCCACCAGTCAGTCTCCATGTCACACAGTCAGAAAGTTGCAACCGTCTCAGTCTTGCTTGACTCGTGTCCATGCTTCACTGACGGCCCATAGTCTCTTGGCAGCCGCTGCATCTTGACCTTGAGGAGCAGGTTCCTTTTCTCTACAGTCACTGTGAAATTACAAACAGCAGATAAAAAAACCTACACAAAACTCAATTAAAAAAATAGGAACATAAAAACAACCATGCTGAAAACATATTTGACTAGTCCGCAAGAGAAAAATGATAAACATCAAAAACTCGTCATTATTAAGTGATTGCCCGAAGCAAGTGCACTGCAATTTTCCATGCACATATAACAGTTAACAGAATTGGCAGGACATGGAAATCTCTTTGATTACCTGAAATGAATGAATTTTGCTACATGATACAAATTTTAGGTACCCCTAAGGAGATAAGCAAAAAGGGATAATTAGGTCTAAATTTTACATGAATTATGCCCCCACGTGGGGCGCTCACTGTTAAAAACAATCAGGAAACGACAAATGCAGTTTGTGGGACACCTGAAGAGACAAAAAGGTCTTCAACATCTAGCAAAATCTTGGCAAAATCGAAGGCAAATGAGGCAGGGGTAGGCCCAAAGCAACCTACTTTGGGAACCTAAGAAATTGGGTCAAGGGGAAGCTTTTTTAAGAACATCCGAGCAAGGGGATGAATGGAGAACCATGATCGCCGATGTCTGTTGCAGACCTGGCACTGGATGAATGAGACCCCTACGTCATACTCATGTGTGTGTTGCCGTCACTTAGATCTACTGGTACAGACTGGGGAATAGGGATGGGTAGGGGTGGGTAGGGGTGTATTGTCACATCCAGTTGAGGTCCACAGCACACTCCTCTTACATATTCAGATCAGACCAATTTTACCTCTGACACCAGGGGACCCCCACCTCCTTCAATCGCAAATATCTCGACTTCTATTCAAGATAGATGGGTATTTTTTTTTTCATCTAAAGCAAGACAAATGAACAAACTTTAAGATGATACTAAGAACTCCACATGCCCAAAAATAGATCAACGTCAGATTCCATCAATCACGACACAGGTTATGTATGTCATTTTAAGGGGATTGTTTCCCTTGTTCTGGGGTATCGGGGCATGTATCAGGACAGTTCCCCAAGGGTAAAAGGTTAAATGGTTAATTCCCAATATTCCGTAGGACATCCACCATTATGAAATAATGCAGAAAAATCAAATGTAGGACTTCTCACCTGAAATACTTGCCAGTGACCTTTTCTAAGCTAGGATCCAAGGCAAGCCTTAAAGTAGTCTGAGCTCCTTGCAAGGGAGTCTTCAGTAACAGAAACTTGATGGGGAAAAACACAAAGGAGCCAATCTTTGATTGGGTAAACCCCAGGTGTCTAGAGAGCTCAGTATTCACTACACCAGGATGTAAACAGTTCACCGTCACATTGGTTCCTGTTGATAGAAATAACATTAAAATTGAATTAATAGAAAAACGCTACATCCTCCTTATAAGGTCCCAAGTCCACAGGCATTTTTCATCAGTTGCAGGCTAGGCTTATATGCAAATGAGCTCATTTTTGTCAGTCACTGACTTCCTTTGCCTGACACCGCAATTTTCTTGCATGCAGGTTTTTTCGTCAGCTGTGCAGGTGACTAAGAAAGTTAGATTCGACTTACTTTGGAAGGAAATTCGCATCTTTAAGTACATTTTTGCTTCTTCATAGCACTTTACATTATCAATATAGTAATATCTCATCATAAAATGTTGTACAATAGTACTAGAATAGTAGATTAATCATTTGTACTGAAAAACAGCAAAAAATGGAACCACAGCACTTGACCTAGATTATTTCGTTCTTGAGACAGCTAAAAATAGGTTAGACCTAACCTTCACGCAATACTTAGGTCACCCGCCACGAACGACCCAAAATGTAAGCCAGAGATAGACTCTAGCCTCTGCATAATTTTTTTTAAAAGGCAGTCTTGTTTAGACCTATACTTATCATAACTTATGTCTCTATCTACAAACTAGAAACAACGCTGAAAAAGTAAATAAGTGAATAAATCGTCTGTGCCTGTGCTGTCTGTAGTTCTTGTAATCATAACGCATTGGGCTAAAAGTAGGTTAGTCCTAGCTGGTCTGACGCTGTGGACGTGGATCTTCTTGAGTCGGTTCTACACAATGCAAAAAACATTGTACATTAGCCTGGCCTGGAAGTGATCTTTTTTTTGGTGGATGCATAGACTTAAGACTGGGGGGGGGGGGGGACGCTTCACCTGAAGGCAAACAGAGGACAAAATTTTACTTAATTTCACACATATAACAAGCAAGTAAGGAGGCTTAAAAACTACAATCAAATTTGAGAAAAAATTTTCGTCTCCATATTGGATTTGGGTGAGTTGTCTTACGTAATTAATAACGCACTTATTTTCCATGGAAATAAATTGTTTTTTTGCATGCATCTAAGCAAACAATATATCTACATAGAGGTCTCTTTAATTTTTCCTAAACATACTCGACACTTTTTAATGAATTTTTTTCCTCAGGTAGCATTCACATATGCAAAAAAATGCTGGAAAATTCACACTCCAAATATCACCAACAAAAATCTGTTCCACACATAAAAAATTCAACACACAAATTTTTAGTACTACATCTTCTCTTCATTCTGTGAAAATTTCATGAAGATTGGATGAAAAATTGTGGAGTTAATTTTTAAAAAGTACAGTCCAGTCCATTTATAACAGCCTCTGTTATAACAGGATCTAGGATATAACAGTGATAAATCAAATCCCAATTTTTTCTTTCTCTATAAGTGTAAGAAATATGAACCAGACTTTTATAGGGTTTAATTTTCGCAGACTCGGATATAACAGTGATCTTGTAGCGCATGAACTTGCTTTCGATCCGTCAAATTATTAAAATTTGTCTCAACCAAGACATGTTGCTTGTTTGCACAAATGCTTGCCTAAACATAAACTTTTCAACCCATCCCCCCCCCACCCCGGTTTGGGGTCACTGATCGATTCCATCTCAGTGTCAGCAAAACAACCCAATGAAAAAGGATCTGTGGCAATCTAATATTTATTGTAAGCAGAAGGTGCAATGGTACTGGTAGTGTCCCTTGATAACGGTTGTAACAGGACTCGCTAATAAAGGGGAAAAACTGATAAGTCCAATCTGTCCTGGTATATCCAAAGTTTGACTGTATATATATATATATATATATATATATATATATATAGAAAACGGCGTTAGGAGAAAACGGGTGATAAAGAAAAATCTCTTTTTAAAATTTTTAGTAGGGGTTTTACGGCGCTCGCAACTGCATAAGGTCATATGAGCGCACGAAACAATTTTGTTTTTTCTCAACGGTTCATTTCTCGGCTTTATACTGGTCAATATTTCCATTAAAAATTTTTTAAACGCCAAATATCGAGGGTAAATAGGCTTTAGATTAAAATTTAAATTTAAAACAACTTTCTAAACAACACTTTAAAATTTCGAAAAATCTATTTCATAACTTTCAATAAAGGCCAATAGCCTTTATAAAATCTAACATTCTGTTGGGAACAACGACGAAAAAAATATCTTGTAATTTTGTGCATTTAAAGTATTTCCTTCGGGTCTCTCCGAAGTCAAGACATTAGGTTAAAATGTGTCTAAATGTAAAATCTGTGTCGCATCCGACACAGAACGGATTCTCATCTCCCTGAAGGAGGTATTTGTGGGATAGGGCCGTGTGTCCGATGCATAATCGAGTAAAAATGACTTAGTCTCTTCTGGAGAGGCCCGAAGGATTTCGCGGTCCCAGTTTGGGTTTAATATTCTGGAGTTCGTTACCCATCTGTTTTTTCCAGTGTCTCTCCCACAGACTGGAGGTGTACTTTTTAACTTTATTTAAAGAAAAATAAAAGACTGACTTTATGAGGAAATGGTAGTGACAAACATGCCTGATATGGGAAGATATCAGGCTTTAAGGGGTTCTTAAGCGATGAAGTAGTTGTAAGAGAGGCTGAAGAAGCTAGATATGTCTACAACTCAAAATCCATCATTCTAAGCCGACTCGCGACTTTCAGGGTGTAGCCCCCTCCCACCCCCTTAAATGTGTGACAAATGCCCTAAAAATCTAATTCTATAGAAATAGATTTACAATTATATATTTCGTCATATTGGTTTCTGTTGAAAGAAATAAACCCAAATCTTATACAAAAACACTACACCACTGTAAACTATTTAACAAATGGCTAAAAAGAAATAGGTTAAAGAGAATTTTTGGCAATGGTACTTCTATTACAGGTCACATTTGTAACTATCGATTTTGAAACTTTCAACTGAAAAATATTTCTCTCAAATCTCAGAATCATGCTGATCTAGATTTCAGTGGTAATCATTGAGTTTTTGTCACTTCTAGCCTTAGGCCTTAACAGCAAACAAAAAGCGACCTAAATTACATTTTTACTAACCTTTAATCCTACAAACAAAATTTACAAAGACAGAGTGACACACATTGGCGCCGTAAGCTCAAAAGCATTAGAGGGCTGTGTTGGTTTTGGCAACAGAGTATAACTAAACTGAAAATGTCATCAAGCACATATGCGGGTCTGCAACACGTCGCTGAAGGTGAAATTTCATATATATTGCAAAAACTCTGTGTGTCCTCCATAAACATAATGTCTTCTGTCAACTCCTCTTCTGAATTGATCTGTTGACTGAAGGTCAGTTCTTGAAATAGAATTGATCCCCCAAACCATACAGTTCAAGGGCCTGCCTCAAAAGTTATATGTCTGAGTCAAGTTGGGCATTAATTAACCCTTCAAGAGTTGCTAACAAATAGCCTGTGGTGTCAGAAGAAATTATATATATATATATATATATATATATGATTTCATCATATTACGTTTGTAAATGCTTGAGAATAGGCAAAGCATGCAAGTAAAGGCCATAAACCAATAATTTATCAGAAAGTGGTATGTAAATAGAAAAATGGATAACATAGAGCTCATTTGTGAAAGAGCTGAAATGTTTGGCGATTTAAATAACAGGATAAACAAACCCCCCCCAAAAATCAACTCAAACCGCAGCCGATTTCATCCAAAGAAACGTGCCACCCATTTTATTGTATGTATGTATAGTATAAGGTTTTACGGCCAAAGAGATCTAGGTTGTGTCGATGAGAGTGTAAAACATTTCATTTGCTATTTTCTTCAACCTTAAGTGTCAACAGCTAATAAAATGGGCCGTTTTACGGCATTTACGGCCCATTTTATTAGCTGTTGACACTTAAGGTTGAAGAAAATAGCAAATGAAATGTTTTACACTTTCATCGACACAACCTAGATCTCTTTTGGAGTGAGGCTGCTTCTACCCTGCTTGTCGGGGCCATTCACCCTGGGATACAGCATCCCAGCAGAAAGATAAGTATACTTGAAAAAAAACCCAACCAATTTTATCTCGCCTGAATTGAACTCATTTCTTTTCTTTTTGAGAGCAGCTGCAACAAGCCTACATTGCAGGCACCAGGAAACGTATTTGGACAGCTACTACCTAAAATTCATTTTTTTAAATCTATTAAATCACCTTCCAATATTTTGGCAAGCTCTTGAGTGCACAAAACATTTGCAAGTTTGCTCTGCCCATAGACCGTTCGGCTGTTGTACTCTTGGGCACTGTTTAAATCCTCAAAGTTTATCTGACCACGGGTATGAGCCAGACTAGAAAGAAAAATAATGCGGCTTGGAGCAGATGCCTTCAGTTTGTCCAGGAGAAGTTGTGTCAACAAGAAGTGACCTGGGGAGAGATGATGTCAAGATCAGGGGTTCAAAACAGACATTGGAAACATAAAGTATGGCACAGATTGGATAGCGCTTTCAACTCAGTAAGTTTATTTATGAGGCAGGGCCTCCGAATAATGTTGATAATATCTAATAGGACCAGGCCTAGTGGGTGGAGTCTTGAAAACTACTGAACAGCTCAAGCACAAGAACAACATTTTCAGGATTCAAACCTGGGCCATTTGCGTTCTTATAGAAAATGGTACCAACTGAGCTACAGCACACAGACTTGGGTGACACACACTGAAGAATTCTAGTAATTAAAAATTATGTAAACATAAAAAAGGTTCTTTTCAGGTGACTGGTCATTAAATCTCATTGAAGCTCAAAAATAAAATCTACATACTACATTCAGGAGAACCCAGTGCAAACTAACATCTTAAAACTAATCCAACAGTGTTCTAGAAGAAGCACATATGGGAGAAGAATACAGTATAAAGTGTTGAGCAGTAACCTCTTCTCCCTTTAACTCACTTACATTAAAACTGTCATCACAAAGCTTCAAAGGTTAACACCTCGGAGAGATAGTATTAATAAGCATTTCGGGAAAGGCAGCATTATTCTTGACCTTTACAGAAAAAAAAGACAAATCACAGATCCTCATATATTTTATGTGAAATGAGGAGGATGTGACAGTCAAAGGACTCAAAATTATAGTACAGTACTCCCAGCTTAAGATCCCAGTTCGCTTAAGATTCCGCTGTTCTAAGAAAACAGAATTTTTACTATACAAAAGTCACTCCTGAGACCCCACTCTGACTCACTCTGAAGGTCTACATTCAGCTAAGATCCCGCATTTCAGATCATAATTTATAGAACAAAAACCTGGGCGGGCACAACTGATCAACCAAGAGTGAAAAGTTCAGATCATTGAACTGTCCATTGTGTCAAGGGTCAACACTCTCATGAATGTGATCACATAATGTAAGCGTAGTAAAACTCTATGAAAAGGTACTATGTTTGCACTAAGGTGTGAACTGACCAACGCGTTTCTTTCCCTAAAATAAAATCTCACTCACATCTGAGCTCTTCACCTAAACTTACATCACTTCGCTCCTGGCGAGATCACATCGAAATGTAAACTCTTCCCGAACCACTGCAGCAGTTGTCTCTACTCCCGAATTTACGAGACAAACTGAATTTTAATTGGTGTGGTCACAACGTAATAGTGCGTAATGACAAAGGCAGGGGAACTCCGTCAGAGATAGAAAGCTATAAATTTAGGACAGGGAAAGGGGAGGGGCAACTGGATAAGCATAGATCTTGAGATAGGATATTAAGTGAAAATTGAAAACCTCACACCACAGTGATTGGTCATCAAGGTTGACCACTATTTGCTCGAATCTACCCATGGGTTACATCAGTTCATTTTAGAGTGAAGGGAGACCATTTTACTGGTTATGGGCTTTAACATGGGTCACTATAGATTCTTCCCTTGTTGCATCAGCAAAGATCCCACATTTTCCATGCCCTGAGCACCAGGATCTTAGACGGAGACTATCGTATAATGATTAAAAGTATCTACCTCTATTACAGTTAATTTCAAATGATGAATTTCTTTTTTCATATCAATAAAAATATACATTTAACTAACTTGGGTCTTTTATTTGTAGTGCTATTAATAGATCCATCTTGATTTTATAATGTCACAATAGCATGCATCACAAAATGGGTTTAATTAAAAATCACAAGAATCAGTTATCACGTTACCTTAAATAGACCAAAAGGGCAAATCTATAGTTGTGGTAAGTAGAAGTGTTGGAACTCATGAAAAAAAAAATTCTAATATTGGTATTGCTGTTCCTTTGTGAGGTCAGTTATTTCAGAACAACCCTATGATATAGAATGCTGATTTTTTAATGTGAGTCTTTGAATAAGTACAGATAATAAGAATTTTAAAGAAACGCTTTGTATTTGGCTGGTCACCAGGGTTTCATTCAGCCAAAATTGCAAATTGTCAGAAAGTTAATGTGCCATTCAAATAGAAAATTTCTGATGTTTCAAATAGGGCCACATTATAAAACATCTCAAAATAATAATTCTCCAGCTTCCTTTCTAAAAATTCCTCCAGCTGCCTTTCTTTCAATTCTTCCCTTGTATAGTAAACAGAAAAATCCCTCCTACCAAAATGATTCACTCCCATTTGCATTTCCAGCCCGTCTTCTGTAAGCATCTTGGGGCACATCATGACACCAGCATTGTTGATCAGGATGTCTACGTGGCTCTCAGCTGAGATTTTAAAGAAAACAAAGGACAGAAACTTTCAAGACGCTGAAAGAATTGAGCATAAAGGGATTAAAACCTTCCTGATAAAACTTTTGGTCTACGCAAAAGCACTGATCACTTTCTTTATCTACTTCAGAGCACGCAGCACAGTAATGTCACTAACAAAAGAAAAAGGTTAAAAAAGATACAGTTAGAGATTAGATTATTTTTAAAGGAAAGGGCCACATAAGTGAAACTACAGTGACTCACACAATGCAGGGATGATGATGACCTTCTGAAAATAGTTCTGAGCAACGATACAGCTATTCTTTATTTTGCAGTGTGAGAGGAAAGTTGGGTCTAGCATAAAAAAGATAATAGAGAACGGCTCTTTCACGGCTTAGAATTTTTTTCAGCAGGTCATACTTTACTTTACTTTTACTTTTCCGATCCAGCGGCCATTTGGGTTCTAGCCCTTTGGTCTGTCGATATGGCAAAGAATTGACAGGTTTTAATCAGCTGTGCTTTGTTGCTGTATAGAGTGTTTCCGATGTCTGGGAAGGCAGGTAGGTAGGTGCTACGCAGGTCACAAAGTGCTGGGCAGTTAAAGAGGTGGTGTGGTACTGTTTCATCCTGGCAGTCGCACAACGGGCAGTCAGGTGGGGTATCCTTGCGGATCCTATTAAAGTAGGAATTTAGTGGTATGTGTTGTGTTCGCAGGCGAAATATTGTGACTTGTTCTCTTCTACTCAGGGAATTTATTGCATCTTTAGAGTTGGGGGCTGTCATGTGTGCAAATACAATTCTTTCAGTTTTGCCCATTGCCCATCCATTCAGCCACTGTTCCCTGGTGTTGCATTTGATTATGTTCTTGGCTGTCTGTTGTGATACTGGGTTGTGTGGTTGTGTTTGTGATGCTCCCTTCTTGGCAAGGGTGTCTGCTCTGTCGTTTCCTGGGATGTTGCTGTGGCCAGGTATCCACTGTAGTGTCAGGTCGACAGCATAGGTCTGTAGGAAGGTGTTGATTGTTTGAGCCACAGATAGGCAGGCTGGGCTTTCGAAATTCATGTTTTCCAGAGCTTGGAGTACTGACTTTCCGTCTGTGAAGATAATAGTGTTCTTGATTTTGTTTGGATATATTATGAAAATGTTGGTCAGGTGGAGGATTGCTGCTTCAATGGCGATTGCCTCAGCCTCGTAATTTGTACAAGAAGTACCACATGCGTCAAATAGCTCTTCACATGTTTTGTCAGGATGTTCAATTCTTACCCAAAGCCTGCGTTTATAGTTCCCTTGAAGGCTGACCCGTCTGTGTAAATATGAATTGAATCACTAGGGTAGGAGTCAATTGTCTTCAGAGCTGTTGTCTTCAGCTCTACTGGGTCACATTCCTTTTTCACCGTCTCTTTTATGAGGGAGGTTTTGATGTTGGCGTTCTTGATGTTAGTGTTTGGGGGGAGTTCTGGTCTTAAAGGTTTCAGCATTTCTCTGTTACATGGAAGATGGTGTTTTTCTGCTAGTTCAGTGGCTGTGTCAAGTATTGATCTTCCATGAATCCGTTTCTTTGGTCGTCTCTGTTCAATTATTTTCCTGTTTGGGTGGTTTTTCTCCAGTCTTTTGTAGCGCTCACTCATCTCTACTACTGCTGCCTCTCTCCGCAAGTCCAAGGGTTCCAGGTTCGTATGGATTTCACAAGCTGCAGTTGGAATGGATCTCAAAGCTCCGGAGAAAAATCGTACAGCTTGATTTTGAATTTTGTCAAGAGACCTCTGAGTTGGTTTGCTGCAGATTGTCTGTAAGGTTACGTTATATTCCATGGCAGATCGTACATAGCCAACATATAGCTGTCTGAGTGCATCCTTGTCCGCTCCCCATGAAGTTTCAGCAGGTCATCATTCCCGCATTATGGGTTTCATTGCAGTTTCATCTTGTATGGAATAGCCCCCAAATCCATATTTGAATTGTTAGTTAAAATTCATTCAGAAAATGTACAACTCAGAAAACACAAAATAGAAAATTTATTTTGCTATTGTCAAGACAAAGCACCTTCTATACAAAGTAAGAAACCACAGAAGGGCATTTAACAGCAAAATGAATCATATTGAATTGAAATTGATGCCCTTTACAACAGGAATTAAAATGTGATACTTAATTACCATTCCAACAGAGTACAAAAGGAGCGAAACATTAAGTTGAAAATTCCAAACAGTTGCCTTTACAATACAAATCTAAAATAGAAAACACGAACAATTATTAATTTATATTATAAAAAATATATATATGTGTCACAACACAGTGAAATCTGGCGCTCATCAATTTTATTAGTTTTTGGTATCATCTTCCAGCCTGTTCATTTGCCTTGCTTTTGATGAACAATATACCTCTATCTTGAATAGAAGTCAAGACATTTGGTATAGAATGAGGTGGGGGTTGCCAAGTGTCAAAGGTAAAATTAGTGAGAAAATGACTGCCATATTTGGTGACTTCCAAAGCTTGGTGTCCTTGGAAACTGCAATTTTACAGTTCTTGTGCCTTTGACTAACGTTTCTCCGTAAAATATACACAGAAATGTGTTTCTAAAATGGATATTAAAGACTTTGAACCAAATAAAAATAAAATCTTTGATCAAAATAGCCCATTAGTTGGAAAAACGTCTGATTCTTCTTTTCATTATTTTAATGAGAGCCTGATTTCACCCCTGAAGACACACACACACACATATATATATGCCAATTGCACACCACACACTCACTTGAATTGATGAGTTTTGCAAATGCACGAATAGACGCAAATGAGGCGAGGTCAAGTTTCCGACACTCTACACTTTTATTAGCTGTCTCTAGCACAATCTCTTTCCTTGCTATCTCACACTTGTCCAGATCCCGACATGCCATAATGATGCGGCCACCTGGAGAATAAAGGGAAAAAATCAAATGTTAAAAACAACAACCGATCAAGGTTTACTACAGTTTGTTTCATAGATGGCGAGCAAGCCTTATGTGTGTAAACTCTTAAAATGGGTTTGTTTTAACATGTGACCAGTCCTTTTATACCACTGAAACTTCAAATGACCATGCTGTGATATACAGTAGAACAAACTTTATTAACATTTTATGTATTTCTTAAGATAATCCAACTTTGTTGCATAAATAGCACAATCCTGTGCTAATAACACTTTCTTTGAGAACAAAAGAACAAAGGAACAAAGTTACTTTGCTCCTCTTCCTGATGCCTGATAGACTGTCATTCAGACATTGTGATAAATCTAGGAATTGAATTTTTTAAATTTTGAAAGAGTATGGCACAGAAGAAATCCTGTAAAGAATCATATATCTCTTTGGTAGTGCAAAAAACAGAAAATAAGACTTGTTTTAGAATATAAAAGTATCTTTTCCTTGTTCTTTTTTTTTCAAAACATTTGTAAGAAAATTCAGCTTCACTTTGTAAGGCAAACAAAATCCCTTTCCTTTCAGAATTACACAGTCCAATAAAATAATAAAATAAAATAAAATGAAGTTTCTTCAAAACATGTGTGTCTCAGACGTAGGGGATTTACCTCTCCGTGCCAACTCCCGAGCTGTCTCCTTTCCTATTCCTGTATTTGCTCCAGTCACAATCACAGTTTTGCCAGCAATCCGCTCCTCCCCATTATAACGACCTCCACTACTGTAATCCCTGAAGACGAACAGTCCAATCACAATGAGGACGAGAGCGACAGCAGTGGAAAATTCCATCAAGCTGGAAACAAGGCAACAAATGTGTCACTGATTCTTTTTAATATAGATCGTAAACTGTCACAAGACCATGAGATTTTTAAAAAAGTAAAATTTTATACATTTCAAGGTTACTTTAAAATAGAATTAAGCTGCGATCTTGAATGAAGTCTTTCTCACATATTATAATGCAAAAAAAAAAATCCATTTTAAAATATTTTTCATTCTGACACATTTGTGGCTTTAAAGAATATTGTAAAAGCAGGCATGACAAAAACTAAGTGAGACAAAGAACAATTTGTATAATTTCATTTTTTCTTATCAATCATCCAGACCGAAGGGCTAGAACCCAAATGGCCGCTGGATCGGAAAAGTAAAGTAAAGTAAAAGTTCTTATCAATCAGCAATTTGGAGCAAAACCACATATGCGGGCAACAAACTTGAAATGACATAACAAACAATTTTATACTTACCATTTACCCAGTGGGAAGTTGTTTTTTTCCAGGCTTACATAAAAAGAGGTTAAAACCTAGATATAGTTCTAGAACTGTACTAAAAATCTTAATTCTGAGAGAAAGTTCAGGGAGAAATCAATTCCACAAACACTACTACTCACAACTCAATTCACAAACAACATAAAGAATGCACATGTGAACAGAAACTGATCAAAGTGTGTATTAACAGCAGAAATCCATGTTTGTACCATTGACTGGTTCATGAGTATGTGTATCCTAAATACTTAGCATCATGTACAGTCGAACCTGACTTAACGGAAACTAAACGGAAATCTGTCTTAACGGAATCTCCCCGCTCCCCCTTGGTATATTCCGCTTTAATTACCTGTATAAAACGGAAACCTGTTCAACGCAGAAATGGAAAGAAAAATCTGCTGCCTTCCGAGGATTTCACCTGTCTAAGACGGAAAATGCTTTGCCCGCTCAGCCCTGATTTGAAACAAAACTCGCCAGTTGGGTTCTAAACTTTACACTATGGCCATGCCGTTGGAAAGGGGAAGTGGAGTAGGGGTGTAATTTGGGGGTAGATGTTACCCCATCATGTGAGCCCTGAGTGATGCAGATGGTCAGTGTAGTGTGGGTGTGAAATCTCATGACTGCTCGTGAGAGTGCTTGAGTAGCGAGTCACTACGGAAACTTTCCTGGGCAGTCAGAAGCCAGAGGTGTGAAATTAGATTGACCAATGCCTGCTGCCCTGATCGTAAGGCCAGCCGAGAAAAGAGTTCCTCGAATCATTGTTACAATGATAGCAGAGAGGGGTGGCATTGGTGGGTGGGGCTAAGGGTGGAAGCGAAGGAGATGTTCAAACATTTCTGTTTTTAATAGGACAAACAGTGGTCCTATGAAAGGCAAGCACTGGTGGTAATAGGATAAGTAAGACTGACGTATGTCATTATCAGACAGGATAGCAATTGAGAGGTGTAAAATTTTGACCACTGCTTGCCGATCGGACAAGTGATCCTTGATCCCACTGGCTGGGCCCTTTAACCCCCCCCCCCTAAATTCCCTTGTCTAAGACGGAACTTTTTTCTGGCTCCCTCGTGGTTCCGTCTTATACAGGTTCAAATGTATACCTGAATAGTCCTGAGTTCTTGATAGCTTAGCATGAACTCTGTTGATGTAATACTAATTAATAAAAAATGAAATTTTCTCTAAAAATAATATACTAATTTATAAAACACTCGAAAATCAACTGTTGCATATATAGTCTCTATAGGATATTCATCAACATAATGATGCGGTACAAAAATCTGAGGCATCGTGGTGAAATCAGGCCATCGTCAAAATAATTAAATCAAAGAAACTGGCATTTTTCTGTTTGTTGGCAATTTTTATCTAATTTTTTGTTTTGACTAACATCTTTAATTAAGGTCCATTTAAATACACATTTCTGTATGTATTTTACTGAGAAATATTGATTAAAGGCAGAAAAAAATGTAAATTTGCAGTTTCTAAGAACTCTCAAGCATTGAACTCTGGCGGTTAATTTTACCCCTGAAACCAGGCAACTAATTGCAAATATCTCGACTTCTATTCCTGAGATGAATAATTTTTCCACAGGTGAAAGCAAGACAAGAAAAGGTTTTAAAATGATACCATAACTCCATATGTCAAAAAATTGAGAGCACCTAATTCCACCTCATCGAGACACAAATGAGAATTGTCAGACTTACTTCAAGAGTAGTGTTGATCCTGCTAGTGTGCCTATTACACTAACTGGCAAAGCATACTTTGGAAGGCGCATTCTTGATCTGCAATATCATGTGTTTGAAAGTGAAAATAAAAGACATTCATTCTCATTATCATTGCAGTCCGAGTAAACTAGATCTCTAGATCTATATAATCTAATTAAACTTACTACACAACAAGTACAAGTAAAATTATCTTTATCCCCTCTTCCCCCCCCCCCCCCCACCCCCCTAAAAAAAGTCATGTTTGACTACACTCAATGAAAGAAGGGGTTATAAAGCTGTAATAAACTATATATCGTAGATCTACCATGTAATTTTTTAACTCACTCAATCTCGTGACCGATCGGTCAGCTTGCGTTCAATCCCATGGCGATATAATTCGGTTTCTATTTCTGTTCCGTATACTAGATTCTAGTTATTTCATTTCGAAAAGCGCCTCAAGTTTTATGTAAGGTCAATTTATTATTTCCGCGGCCAATTCTGTCTGGAGGGGTGCTTGAGTTTTGTTTCTACTGTCATTACACACAAAGAAATGGCAGTTTTTATAAGGCACTTTCAGCACTTTTGTTCAAACTGATCAGCTGAGCATGTCTCATAATCGATTCTAGTTCTCTCTGCCTTTAGTTCTTACACATGGCATACATTTGTTTTAATTCATGAAAGTATTCAACAGTCTTTATTATAGGCTACATGACATACAACATATAGATCTAGACACTCACAAGCATATAGCCTACATTTAAATATCAATGTGGGCTTGCTCTTGCTCATTCGCCCATGAAAATTTTGTTAAAACTTAATAAAAGCCCACAAAAATGCCAAATTTGTACAACACCAGAGAGCAAAACTACTAAAGCTACATACTTCAAATTTGGAACGTCTAAAGAACCATCATAGGTTGTACTTTGTGCCAAATTTTAAAGAAATTGTAGATGACTATACATTGTGATGCTTGTTCGTCTATGTGAGTTTACATGTAGTTCATTTTATCTCGTTTCAAAATTATGAACATTGCTGATCGATCCGATACTCTATATATAAGCAAATACCCCAAAGTTATATGTTCACAATTCCGACTGGGAACACTTCTATACCCTGATCAGAACTGAAACAACGACTGACCATGTCTTCAGGATAAAAAAATCCAGTGTCCAGCTCCAGACTGCACAATTACATGGCCCTCCTCCACCAACCCTCAGAATAGTTACATGATATTTCCTCTGTAGGATTGCGACTGTCATCATACATCCCATTGTGAAGCATCTCTAAACTGTTGTTGATAAGAGTCTTTGTTTTATCAGAATCACTAACTGCCAACCATGACACCAGCCTACCCTGTCCTTTCCTTGTGATGAACTCCAACAGTTCTATGAACAATCTACTCAATCTTGTCGAGAACGGTTTCCCACAGATGAAAAGTGACCTCCCGGTCGAACTCAGAGTTTATTACCAATAATAAAAAGACAACTTGAACACTTTTGACGGTGTGGTAGTTTATAACGACTTCATTGTGATACACCCAAGCCTTTGTGACAAAGTTCTGCGATCACTACACTCTGCCCACCAGGGTGTGTCTCAAATGTGCTCTCGCGTGAATGCCTCATTCTTGTGGCCAGGCATGACTTCTGCCATTAGTGAAATGCGTCTCCATTGTTCATCCTGCAACCGAAAGGCGGAATAAAAAACAAAAGCCCCACCGACTCCACCAATACAACCTCAGTACCAGTTTCAATGTATTTATGCCGATTTCTTTCATCATGCAGGCCACAACTACCTGGTCATAGTCGACAGATAGCAACTGGCCAATTGTAGAAAAGGCTGCCAATGAATGGATCGCAAGGACTCATATCCAGTTTGAGTCACACATTTGCTACCGATGGCATCAGCGATGAACTTTCGTCTGATGGAGGCCCTGAGTTCACTTCGATGGCCACCAGAACCTTCCTGAGGGATTGAGGAGTGAACCACCGACTGTCATCACTGGCGTTTCCACACAGCAACAGTCGGGCTGAAATCGGAGTAAAAACTGTCAAACGGATGACTGTCGACAATACGGGCCCTGATGGCAGCATCAACATCACCCTCTTCCAGCGTGTGATACTACAATACCGGAATACCCCAGACAGGGATACCCGAATATCCCCTGCCATTTGCATATATTTAGCCGACCCATTCGCGATTTCCTTCCCATTCACCCTGGGAAGTACCTTCCCCATCCGACGTGGCAAGAGACCCTATCCTCTAGGGAGAAAGCCCTCAGGAACCGTCACATGAAGGATGCCGACAGAATGTTTGCACATACCAGGGTGCTACCTCCATTGGTAGTCGGCGATTGCATCCGTATTCAGAACCAGACAGGTCCCTTCCCCACTTAATGGGACAAAACAGGCATCTGATAGAGGTTCGACAGTTTGACCAGTATGTCATCAGAGTGGATGGATCAGGCACAGTGACACTACGAAACAGGAAATTCCTCCACAAGTACCAGCCCGTGATAACCAGATCACCCCTAGCCATGATTCCAACGCCCCATGCTCACACCTATGTGCAGGCTAAGAACCATACCAACCTGTCTCCAGATCCTCAAGACACGCCTTGTCAATCACCGGCACCAGTGCAACCACCAATACCTGCCGACACCAGCGTTGAAGGGGTGCTCATAAACGGTGATAGTCCATCTCAACAAGCAGTTGTACCCATGCCGAATGAGCCTCCAGCAGCCATAACTACATCCGCAGAACCAACATAAAAAAAGTTGCGGCAGAGCGTACTACTGCACCAACCACACCCATGCGGCTTGAACCACGAGCACTGAGAGCCCTACGACCATTCAACAAACCTGGCCTAAAAGAAGATACTTTATCTGTCACGAAACGTGCAACTAGATCAGAAACCTCATTATACAGGTGAAATTATCATTCACACACATTGCCCATGGACATGAAGCACGAATTGACTCTATGTTCAGTTGTCAGTCCATGACTATGTTTACACAATTGGTGTTTCACCTCCTTGTTGGTTCACCATACCCCGTTGACATGTCCGATTCTTAGGCTATGTCTTTGTGCTCAGCACAGCCGTAGGTTTAATTTTGTTGACGTTTGTTCATTTCCTCGTTTGCTTGTCAACAAGTAACGTTACGTTTGGATCGCATCTAGATCTAGATGGGGGGGTTTTTTCTAGATAGATTTCTACCGCTGTTGAGTTAAAAATTATTGAAGACAGACTTTGTCTCGATTTTAGAGTGCAAACTTGGGCAATTGTTTACGTTCTCGAGTTTAATTCCGGCAGCGTCTTGACAGAATCTAGATGTAGATCTAAACAAGAGTTCAGAGTGGGCGCTTGTTATGGAGTTCCTCCTCCCCCCAGGAATATGCGAGAAAGTAAACAATTTCAAACTTTCTCTGGCTCCGGGTCTGATTTAGATCTAGATCTAGATCTAGAATCTAGACCATCTAGATCTAGATATCTAGATCTAGATCTCTAGATCTACTCGTTGCAATAGTTAGTAGATCTACTACTAAATCGTGCCGTACTTATTCTTAATATGATGGCTAGACTGACCATTTACAAAAAATAGGCCTACTGAATTGTAAATATACATTTTTAGTGTGCAGTACCTAAAGTACTTGTATTTGAGACAAAAACAGGTGCCTTAATGACAGTGCATGTATTTAAACCTCCTGTTTTCTAATGTTAATAGGGCCTAAGATAAGTATGGCTAGACTTCTTGTCTAGCCGTACTTAAGTACGGGTAGACAGCCAGGCTAGCCGTACTTAAGGACGGCTAGACTGTCAGGCTAGCCGTACTTAATATTGATGGCTGAATTGTAAATGAATTTTTTAGTTTGCAATGCCTAAAGTCCTAAAGTATTTGTATTTCAGTCAAAACCAAAAGGTGCCTTACTGACTTGCATCATGTATTTGAACCTGAATAATTACTAGATTCTAGATCTAGATCTAGATCTAATGAGACCTGTGTACTTAACCGGCTTGAGTCGATTGGGCCAAACCTAGATCTAAGTACGGCTAGCCACTTCGATACTTAAAAATACTAGATCTAGAATCTAGATCTAGATCTAGATCTAGTTCCAATAATAATAGTATGGTCCATACCTTTACTTTACTGTTGTATGAGCAGGTCCGCAAGGAGACGAACAAAAATCTATATCTACCTGTTGCAAGTCACTCGACTCCAAGATTCTAAGACTGACTAGACTAGTACTAAGTACTGAACTCCAGTCAATTTTGTCTAAGTGTGAACACTGAACACTGAAAATAGTGAAAAGTGAAAAGTGAAGTCAAAAATGAAACAAGGAAAAGAAAAGGTCAAGGGTCGAAGATATGACGACAGTAAGAAGTCAGTCAAAGCACTTTGGTCAAAGAGCGTACGTCGTACATTTTCTGTCTCGCCTTGTTGTAGATTCGCATTGGACTACAAGTTGTATAAACAGCGGTGGGCTACATTTAATAAAAGGAGGAACTCTTCATGTAAAATTTACGTACCTATGGCCAAACTGAATTCTGAATATTTAATCTTGACAATCCCAGAAAATAAATTTGACATTACAGACTTATATCCCTGTTTTGTTTGAAGCACTATCTAATTATGCATCTTCCTGTCATTCCAGGGGCAAAGAGGTGGCTTTGGTAGAGGGCCTACTATCTCGCTTGGAAGAGTACACATCAAACCTGGAGGATTTAGTGGAGGAACGAACACAGCAGCTGGCGGTGGAGAAACGCAAGTCTGAGATGTTGCTGGACGAGATACTGCCCAGGTAGGGCAAATTTTGGTATTAATGTATGTGTGTGTATGTGCGCGCGCGCGCGTCGTGTGTGTGTATGAGAGAGAGAGAGTGTGTGTGTGTATGTGTGTGTGTGTGTGTGTGTGTGTGTGTGTGTGTGTGTGAGAGAGAGAGAGAGAGAGAGAGAGAGAGAGAGAGAGAGAAAGAGAGAGAGAGAGAGAGAGAAAGAGAGAGAGAGAGAGAGAGAGAGAGAGAGAGAGAGAGAGAGAGAGAGAGAGACGGAGAGAGACGGAGACAGAGACAGAAACAGAGAGACGCATACACACATACCATCTCACACATCCTCTATTCCACGTACACATTATACTCATACACATAAACATAAAAAATCAAAGGTGTGTGAGTGTGTTTGTGTGTGTGTGTGTGTGTGTGTGTGTGGAAAGCGGATAACTAGACACTTTTTAGTCATTAATAACAATTAATAAAGGATGAGTAGGCCTACAAGTTTGTCTCTCAAAAAGTGATTTTCAACGTATGCTGTTCCATTTCATAATTTTCGTTGGTGTTTTGTGGGGTTTGTATTTGTTTTTTGCTTTTTTGTTGTTGTTTTTGGGGGGGAGGGGGGGGGTTCGTTGCTTTCGGGTTAAATCTCCAGAGCCAATTTTATCAAAATTATTCACTTCGTTTTTGCCCTTTTCTCATCTACAAGACATCAGTAAGAGAGAAAAGGGAGAGGGCTAAAATCAACGACTAAAATCAAAGATGTTTCCGTGAGTTTTGCTGTCTAAATCTAATACAGCTATAAATAGCTAGGCTTCATTTATAACTTGGTTCGATTGGAGAGAACAGCTACTTGTCTATCTAAGACAAGAAAGAGAATATTATTAATGTGTTTCAATTGAACCTCTAATTTAAAATTAGGTGGAACTTAAAAGTGACGTTTTGTTCTACTGCAGGGTAAAAAGTCTCGCTGCTCTGATCGAATACTCTCTGGATTAAAAGTTACATAACCTGATGGGGCCAGGAATCAAGGATACTTTCTTACTTACTCTCTCCCCACTCCCCATACCCTCAGGTACAGGAGGCGGAGAGCAGTCATATCAATGATAGGAGATACAACATTTTGAAGAAAAGTCTCATGTTCTCTTGGTACCACAACAGGACGATTTTGGCAGTAGGCAAAGCACGCCTTGGATTGTCATTTTTATCTGCATCCAGTTATCTAGGAAGGAGAACATTGTCGATGCTTTGGATTTGCCTAATTTTATAACATCGAATTGCCTTCTGGGCAGTAAATTTGACAACAATGTTGTCGTCTTTTTTCAAACTCCCGTTTTGGAATTCTTGGAAATATCCAGAGCCTCCACCTCCATCCACAGAAAAGTAAATCTCCACTGTCTCCGTCATCTTACACCATTTCATTCCCACTGTCTGATTCCGAGTCTGACGATTCAGCAAGGTCAATGTTTCGTTAACAATGTGATTGTTTCTTCGCCGATGCCTGCTCAATTACCAAGACCTCTTTAGCTAGCATTGATGTATAGATGACAGATTTTCCAGCTTTTCGTTTTCGATCAGGTTTCTTAGTGGAGCATCACCAAATGGGCGCGGATTGCTTCTTGTGATGCAACTGGACTCTGTGTGGCTTCGTCAGACCTTAGGTCTGGTTGCTTTGAGCAAGATGATCGTGGTTCATTTAGCATTTCTAGGGGTTCATCCTCATGTTCAGGATTTTCTTCTGTTGGAACTGGTCTGCCAGTTGTAAAAGCTGGATGGAATCTTTTTTCTTTGATGACATGCTGGTCAAAGGGAGATATTCCAGTGCTGCAGAATCCAGAGGTGGTGTTCGTTGGGGTGCCTGCTTTTTCAAATGCTATATTTGATCATTTTTTGGTACTATGTGAATTGTCATTGGCCTCCCCAGATTCAGAGGATCTCTCATCCATGTAGCCACTGCCTGGTAGAAGAAAACCTTGAGAGGTCCATACAGTAGACAGTCTTGCCAAAAAAAATTAGAACTCATGGGAGGGGGGGGGGGGGTGTTTAAAGGACAGGGTTGTGATATTATTGACTACAAAATCTGATGACATTGATGCTCACATGTGAGGCATGATAGTTCAATAACAATAGAGCTGGTTTTGCCTCACTTGGCCTTGAATAATTTTTTAATGTTCCAAGAAAGACATGAAATTTTCGGCAGTCACCCATCCATAAGTTTTAGAATAGATCTAGCTTTTAGCTCGACTGCCAACAGATAATAGGTCTTTCTACCTTTCCTGAACCTGAACACGTCCAAACACACAAAATGGAAGAACTGCATTCCCGATGACATGGGCTGCACAACAAACTTGTGACACAGCAGACCTTGCCCTCTTTGTTCCTTTATCAGCAGTCTGCTCTCAGGGTTGTTGAATTGTTTCGACAGCCGTTTTATCGCAATTGTACACACTCTATCAGGTGTAAACCCATATTCTCAATATACCTCTGCTGAGTTTGTGGTAAAACATGTCTACATTTGTGGATGAAACATGCCAATCTCTGAAGAGAGGTTGCCTCTGGTAGGCGCCGAGAAAGTTAAGTTCTTTGTGCCTTTTCATGAATTATTTTTCTGCCCAGTCTTTTCCTGGTATTTTATTTTTTGGCCACGGGTTGTGACTTCTTTACTTTTTAGCCTCTGCATATTCATAAGCCAATTGACGGACATCTTGCATAATTGCATGGATCATGCGATATTTTTAATACTTTGATGCAGTAGTTCACAATAAGTTCTTGCCCAAAGCTCTTGGCTTAAAACTTGACAATAGGCTACGTACCCATAGCTTGCACTTTTTAGATTCCCGTCTCTCAATTTGATATCTCTACATATCTACCTAGAGTTTTATAGTTGAGGCCAAAGTGTCGTGCCGTTGGTTTAACTTTTGCCTCATTTTCAATGACTATTCAGACAGCTGCAATCGTTACACCCCTTTAAAAAGGCCCCACAGCCCGTGTTTCTTTTACAATTCCCCATCTTGAGTAGCCTCAAATTTTACCAAGCAAAAGTAAAATAATAATGCTCATTATTGGCAACAAACGATTACTTTTACCTATCCCATCCCCGATTCACTTTGTGCGTTTATGCGAGCATTAGGCCGATGCTGTTTCTTTATGACTTTGCACAGAATAGCAATTGATTTATTTCTTAAAGCTGTTGGGCTCAAATATATTTCAACATTGTAGGCCTGTGCAATGAGTAAACGATTTCGTGCATGAAACAGTGAATTATTGATGGGGTAAAGCTTACTGTGGGGCAAAAAGTCTCGTTAATTCTAGGCACGAGACTCCTTGCTCCAACACAAAAGCAATTACTCTTGAGATAAAAGCAAATATCCATTTATCTTTATGGCAAATAAACATCTATAGACAACTGACTTTAGAAGACATTTACACATTTTATGCACACAGGGGCACCTAATGCAAACCCTGATACCCAACTCCCAGAAACAAAAAAACAGAAAGACTCTGAAATTATAGTTTAGGGCGCGCTTTCTACTTGCATCAAAGAGGTTATAAGCACCGATGAATCGAATCTACAGTCCACGAAACTCGAACGCAAGCTCGAGGTGCACTTGAGTATTGTGCACGCTAACTTCCGTTTTTGGTTGCTTGTTTGTTTGTTTTTCACGGATGCATGGGGGGGGGGGGGGGGGGGGGGGCAGGCTGTCAGGGACTTGATTTGGTTTATTGATTTCAAATTGTTTCAGGTCCGTATCGGATAAACTGAAACAAGGCCAGCCTGTGGCGCCAGAGTCTTACGAGCAAGTTACCATCTACTTCAGCGATATCGTGGGATTCACCTCTCTCTCGGCGATGAGCTCACCTTTAGAGGTAGGTTCTAGAATATCTGCCTATCTGTTAGTCTGTCTTAAAAAAGTGTCAAGTTAGTGGAAGACAAAACTGTACGTAGAATACTACCTGGCGGGAGGGGTAGTACTCTAATAAGAATCATAATGCATGCAGTATTTTTGGACAACAATGGAACAAATGAATTAATGTTTCGTCTTGCTAATTTGATTTGCATATCTGGCAAGATAAGATCATTCAGACCCGAGTAATGGAAGAAGGGTACACACCTCTTAATTACAATGGAAAGCTTAAACTCTCTCATCAAAGTAACATGTTACAAGGACTTGCTTCGTATTGTTAGGCGGAGACGATGGATGCGAAAGGGCAGTCTGGTACTTTCTTATGCCATAGTATGTGTGTCCTCGAGGCCAAAGCGTCAGTGGCCTAGTGGTTAGGCTCTCAGAATCGCAACCGTAAGGTCATGTGTTCAAATCTCATCAGAGGCCCGACGTTGTGTCCTTGGGAAAGGCACTTTACTCGAATTTTTCTCACTTCACCCAGGTTGGAATGGGTACCCAATCAGCAATAAACAGTGAAAGAGCTTGTCAGTTTGTTAGTGTTTGAGCGCTTAATTAGTTGCTTCCTGGGAAATTGAATATCATTGCTCTTTTTAGTTCTCAGAACACCGTTCTAATTTCTAAGAGGGGAACTGTGTCAAATGTTAATTAGAGAAATGCGAATCTAACTAGGGAGCAGGGAAAAGGAGGGGGTGTATTGTTTTAGTCCCAGACTCTGACAGACGAACGAGAGGCTTCTCTCTCATTGTTAAAATCCCATCTACATCTACATCTACATAAAAAGTGTTGTTCCCGCATCCGATTCGGACATTGTGGATTGCCTTGTCAGTAAGACAACTTCCTGCGCCTTCGGCATATTGCGGTAGGGTGGCCAGTTCCTTTCCACGCCGCCATAAAGTCAGGTACCCATTACTGCTGGGTGGGCAGGAGGGAGTGAAAAAAATCCGTGTGCGAACCGAGGCTCGAACCCGGACTTTCCTCTTCGGAGACGAGCGCTGTAACCACTCCGCAATTGCACCCTCACATCTACTTATACATTGTATTGTATAATTTCAACTTGTATCTATGCGGTTCATGTCATAGCTCTTGGCCAGGTAAAGTAACTCCGGAAAGCAGGCGATGAATAGTGCACCAAATAGAACCATGGATGGCTTAAACTGAAAATGAAATAGGCAGTTTGAATGATAAATGTAACTGATGAAATTGTGTTTAAAAAATATTATGTATTTGAACTGCAGATGTATTCTTCCTTTGTATGTAACAGAGAGGCCAATTGGCAGTTATAAATCACGTTGACAGGCCAAGGGGGAAGCGAGACTGCGAGAAGAAACATAGAGACAGTCTCGCTAACTTGGAACCACTCATAGCATCAAAAATTCTCTTTTAGTAGTAGAGAATCGTTGATAGTATCGCCATTTTAACAGAAATAATATCTATTATAATATTTCTTCTTGTTCCCGCAAAGCCCCGCTCTCTCGCTTGTAATGTGGCCTCAACCCAAGGCATGTTTGTGTGTCGTCACACATACACACACACGCACGCACGCACGCACACACACACACACACATACACATACACACACACACACATACTTCCACACACAAACACATTCTCTCTCTCCTTCCCTCCCTTTCTCTCTCTCACTCTCTCTCTCTGTCTGTCTGTCTGTCTGTCTGTCTGTCTGTCTGTTTCTCTCTCTCTCTCTCTCTCTCTCTCTCTCTCTCTCTCTCTCTCTCTCTCTTTCTCTCTCCTGGCCCTCCAGGAAATCGCGGTCTTGCAGCCGCACTTGCGGCCGCGTTTTTGGTCGAGTTCCGCCATAAACCCGCATTTTTTTTTTGCAATTTTAGGCAAAAATACATCAACTCTTTAATTTTAACAGAATTTTAAATTCGAAATGGTGCGAGTACGTAAATCCTGGTACATGTATCGGCCCAGCTCAAGCATACTGAGCGTACTCTAAAAGCTATAACCCGAAATTCAGGCCGGAATGCATCATGTACAGCACGAATTGAGACATCTAGGCCGAGATGGTGGCCTTCTCTGGGCTAGGCCTTTATCTAATAATGTGTGTAAGCGTGCGCGTGTGATAAGAAAGTAGGTGTGTGCGTGTGTGAGGTGTACGTAAGTGTGTGTGCGTGTGTGTGCGCGCGCGTGAATATTATTCGTGCATGATGCATGTGTCTACATACACGGTAACCGGGCACCTAGTCTCAGTACACGGTAACCCACCGGAATGAAAATTAACCATTATTTGTCCTGTGCTGTCACTTGTTGAAATAAAAAAAGAAAGTTATACACGCGTCTTGTCGGGCTCGCCATCGTTATCGGTCAGTGAACCTGCGCTTTCGCATCACATTGTGAGTACCGGTTGGGGTCACCAAAGTTCATTCGAAGTCTGCGCTACGAAGTATAGGGCTCCAGATTGGGGGGGGGGGGGGAATTTTTTATTTTTTAAAAATGTACAGTCGGGGGAGGGCTGGAGTTGAAGGCATCACCGGATGACAAAAACTGAACTTGGAATTCTTAACTGTCCGGTTACCGTGTACGTAGACACTGAGGCTAGGTGTCCGCGTACCGTGCATGTAAACACCCCGTTATGTAAAACGCCTTAAAGATGCGTTCACATGGGAGTGGGATCTATAGAAATGATCTAGATCTACATTCTACATTAGTACATGTATCACTATTGTTTATAAATGGGAAAAAAAATAGCTGTATTTTACGATTTGACTGAGTGTTTTAATTTTAAAACAATACCATGCCGTTTTTAAAACAGAAAATCTCTGAAATAGATCTAAATACAGATTACCGGCGTATCGAAGGTTTCAAGAGTAAAAATAGAACCGGATCTGATTTGATTGGAGCATAAGCTTATTTTGTATTTAGACGTTGTTTCGAAAATCTCTCGTC